AAACTAGTAACAGCACGTCCATAAGTTCTTCCTTCAAAGTACAGAAACTAGTAACAGTACGTCCATAAGTTCTTCCTTCAAAGTACAGAAACTAGTAACAGTACGTCCATAAGTTCTACCTCCAACGTACCGAAACTAGTAGCAGTACGTCCATAAGTTCTACCTCCAACGTACAGAAACTAGTAGCAGTACGTCCATAAGCTCTACCTCCAACGTACAGAAATTAGTAGCACTACGTCCATAAGTATACAATTTAATATTTTTAAACGACTAATGTCTGCACTAATAGTGACATATTGTAATACATCTAATCCACTGACACTGGTTATTTATTGTAAAATTTAGGTTAAGCTGTTAGTTAACTTTTGCCTAATTTAGGATCCTGATTTCCGTTAAGATTCAGACACGAAAGTCCCCAAAATATGGTAGAAACGCGACGGCAAACACCAAACAGATTCGGTTGGTGTAAGCAGATTGTTTTATTCTTTCGACGCCGAGTAGTTTACGGTCTTAGTTTAAATTGTTTGGTTTATCGACCTTAAAATGTACATCGTTCCATCTGATGGTGTGTAAGTCATGTCTGGTTACACATCACACTCTGACCAGGAAAACTAACTCCATTAGTGCAATAGAAAGTGTATTATAACCTGGGTAGCCAAGACACCTGCAAACTTCACGTGCTCACCACAAGTGTAATATATGTAATATCCGAAATAAATTGTAGTCTGATTAGGCCAGGCATGTACTTCTATGTATGTTCGATAGAAGCTATAATCTGATCAGACAAGGTCTGTATTATTCCGTTTACTTGGTAAAAGATATAATATATTTAGGCTAACATGTGGTAATCTGTTTACTCGGTAAAAGTTACAGTCTGATTAGGCTAGCATGTGGTAATCTGTTTACTCGGTAAAAGTTACAGTCTGATTAGACTAACATGTGGTAATCTGTTTACTCGGTAAAAGTTACAGTCTGATTAGGCTAACATGTGGTAATCTGTTTATTTGGTAAAGGTTTCAGTCTGATTATGCTAGCATGTGGTAATCTATTTACTCGGTAAAAGTTACAGTCTGGTTAGGCTAGCATGTGATAATCTATATACTCGGTAAAAGTTAGTCTGATTAGACTAACATGTGGTAATCTGTTTACTCGGTAAAAGTTACAGTCTGGTTAGACTAACATGTGGTAATCTATTTACTCGGTAAAAGTTAGTCTGGTTAGGCTAGCATGTGATAATCTGTTTACTCGGTAAAAGTTACAGTCTGATTAGACTAACATGTGGTAATCTGTTTACTCGGTAAAAGTTACAGTCTGGTTAGGCGAGCATGCGGTAATCTGTT